CTGCCACCTTTTGTTTCAGGGCTTTTGAAACCGCTCTGGTCAAAGGCCAAATTGCCGATTTATACCAGAGTGTCGCCAAAACCATATTATTAATGAGTAGGGCCCTTTCCAAGAGAGATGTGTTTTATATTTCCATGTTCCCAGCTTTTGTAGGGTCGGACACATTATCCAATTGTCATTACTAACCGGTTTTCCTTCAGCTGAGAGTTGGATTCCCAAGACTCTGATGGGGAGTTCCAAGGGAAGCCACGTCACATTTGGGCGCTCCGGGGGTCTTCCACCATCGTGGTGCATCCACCGTCCCAATGTTTTGCTGCCCCAATTAATTGTCATATCAGAGAGGGAGAAAAATCGGGCCATCAGCCTTTCAATTTCCTCCATATTTTGAATGGACGCCTCAACCATCAAGGTGAGGTCATTTGCAAACAATGAACACACCTGCAATGCCTCTTGCAGGATGGAGGTCATTTTGATTCTACTGATGTTCCGATTGGCTCTAAGATTGGCCGCCAAGGCCTCCATCACTACCACGAAAAGGTATGGAGCGATCGGGTCTCCTTGGCGGACTGATCTCTGTAGAGGGAAATCCGGGGCAAGACACCCATTTACCTGTATACGCGTGGTAGCGTTTTGGTGAAGTATACGCACCCATCTCCGAAAGGATCCTCCAATGTTCATTTTCTCCAAACATTTATCCAGAAAATGTCAGCCGACATGGTCATATGCCTTTTCAAAATCTATAAAGATAAAGGCGGCATTGCACCTGGACTGTCGAGATAACCTCAATAGCTCATTAACTAGAAGGATGTTATCGTGGATGCGCCGCCCTTTAAGGAAGCCAGTTTGAGACGGGTGGATGATTTGCTCCAATGTCGACGCCATGCGGTTTGCTAATGCTTTCAATAGCATTTTATAGACTACGGTTAATAGTGTAATTGGTCAATAGTTTCGTATATTCATTTTATCTCCTTTTTTGTACAACAGTGTGAGAACCCCTTGGCCCACTGCTTCCCCCATATCTCTTCCTGCCACACCTTATCATAAGAAGTCATCAAGTCCTCTGCCATCAATGATCAAAAGGTCACCCATAATTTTTTCGGCAACCCGTCCACTCCAAAGGTTTTCTCCTCTTCCATTTGCATGAGGGCAGTCCATATCTCTTCCCTGGTGAGCGGAGGGTCTAAAGCGTCCTGTATCTGCTGAGGGAGTGAATGGGTTAGGGGTTTGAGGAAGTCTTCGATCTCTCGGTCTCTTGTAGTAATGCTAGTACTCTTAGTTTGTGAAGTAAAGAGGGCCTTGTAGAAATCTTTGGCCACTTTCATACATTGTGGTGTGGAGGTGGCCAGCAGTCTCTCAGGATCGGTGGGATCCAGGAAGGCCTCAATGGTATGCCTCTTTCCCCTAACCCTTGCTAGGCCAAAGAAGTCAGAATCCATGGCTCCTTCCGTAGTATATTTGGAGAGTTTACCTCTAATCCTTATGCCATGCCATCTATAGGTTGCGAAGTCGAGTAATTTATTTTGAAGATTCTGGAGACGAGGGGTGGGGTTCTGTTGCTGAAGGTCCTGGATCTGATATTGAATCTCCATTTCCTCTTGATAACGTTTTTCTGCCAATTCTTTAGAAAATTCTTTGTTTTTACGGCCTAGGAAAAAGAGCCCATTATTGAACCATGTGACTCCAGATTCAAAGTATTTTTTCTATTGGTACCGATAGGACCATACATCATGAACCAGGTGGACAAAGTCTTGTCTGTGTAGAAAAGAGGTATTGAGCTTAAAAAAACTTGGACTGTGGTCCGGTTTCTTACGGAAGGTGAGGGTGACTCCACACAAGGCATGGTCCAGCCCCATGAAGGGACTACGAGGGAGCAGGTAAGCAAATTGCATTGCGCCTGCAGGGTCCTCTGACATAAGGATCAAGTCGATTATGGACCTGGAACGCGTTTCTGCCCCCGTAGTGCGAAAACAGGAGTATCTTCTTTCCGTTGGGAAGGCTCTCCTGAGAGTGTCGAAAAGGTGAAGCGAGGAGTTCAAATCCTCGATTGTCTTCTCGTCGGTTTCTATGTATGGGGGGAAAGGGGTGGGGATCCTCCACCTATCTAGTGTACGGCCGGGGGTGTTGGCGAAGGTTTTCAAAAAATTCACATCTGTCCCTTTCCTAGTTTGGTGCATACACGCAGATAATACAGATCAATTCCAGTTCCAGCATCTCAAGTATGGAGACCCACCTTCCCCCTTGTTGGTCTGCGACCCAATGAATCGGTGTTGCCCTCGACGTTGGCGGTAACCATATGGCAACACCCGCACTGCTTGGTCTTGGTGCATGGGCTCTAAAAGCCTGGTGTGGCCATACCATGTGTTGTGCCCGGTGGTGGTCTGGAGTATCCTGTAGGTGGGTCTCTTGTATACGCACTACGTCCGGCCATTCTTTGCTAGGGACCCCCTTGATCAGTTCCCAGATTGCCTGCCTTTTGTCAATCGTGGCCGTCGCCAGGCCGTTGACGTTTAGTATATGAAGGTCCAGGTCCGCCGCCCGCAGGCCCTTACTCCAAACCGGGTCTTTTCCATACAGCAATCTCACCGGGTTCATCCTGAGAATCTTTCCTTATCCCCTACAGTCTCGGCCATGTCATGGAGTCCAGATCTGACATATTGGTGAGTAGCGGGCTTTTAAGGATCCTACACAAGCAGGCTTGCACCTCCTCCTCATTCCACAAATTGTTGGACTTCACTTTCAGACCTTGTAAGTCTAGGAGGGTTGCTTGCGAGAACCATTTAAGGCCGGCCTCCTTTGTTGGGTCCATGAGGATCAAAACCTCCCATTTTGTCAGCGTAGGGGAGGTGCGCATGAATTTGGTTTGCGCACCAGGTATTAAGTATTTCTGAATGTATTGATTCAGGTCCTCCATTAAGAGGTTGTCCCGCATCTGTGCAGGCATTAGTGAGAGGAGGGGGTCAAAGCCCCTCAGGGAGACTTCCCCGTATTTCGCATTCTCACGAGCAGCAAACAGGTCAAGTTCCCATCTGCCATCCTTCTTACGTTCGGGGAACAACAGCAGGCCATTCAACGAGGGTTGTTGCAGGTATCTCCCTGATTCTAAGTGGTTTCTAAGCTTACTTTGTCTGTCTAGTAGCACCAGGGTAGGGGGTTCCCCCACCGAGGCTCGAGCGGGGTCTGACAGTGGTTCCTTCTTGTTTGAGGTTGTCCCTGTGTCCCCTCCTCCATCTTTCCCTTGTATTTGTTTGGTGTTGCTGCTCCCCAAGCAGGGAGGTTCCTCTTCCGGTTGAGATCGTTGTTGTGAGGGGGAGGGGTCCGGTGTTCTAGTCTGTACTGTCTGTATTGTCTCCATCTCAATTGCACCGTTCTCTTCTCTTGTCGCAGACTCTTCTGGATGCATCGGTACTATATCCCCGAAGGGAGGGGGTTGTGATTTCAGGTTAAGGCTCGAGAGACAAAAACGTCAGGCAACTATATTGTACACGCGCTGCAAGATCTCTCGCCGTTGGCCACCTTGTGGTGGCCCATGCTCCAGTGCCGACCTTAGTGTGTCGTCGCCCCCTTCTAGCATTGGGACCAAATCCAAAAATGTGGAGTCCCAAAATTCCGTACTGAATCCGGGATGTCGGTCCTGTAAGCTCTGAAGCAACCAGTCTGCTAAGGATTCCATTTTAGTGTGCAAGGGGGCCTGTTTATCTGGCTGGCCATCCGGTACCTCTGCATCCATCATAATGATATCTGGGGGCAGGGGGGAAGCTCTTTCGCTGCTTCCATGGTTATTTCCAATGTTTGGGAGTGCTCCACCTCCATGGGACACGAACCAAAAGCGTCTTGGAAAGGGTCCCTTCCTTTCCTCTCTCCTCCCTCCTTTGCTGACTGTTCTTTGCTTCCTTTGGTTCTTTCTGACCATCAGCCGATACCTTGTCCTGGCCGAGCTTTTGTGTGTCAGACGTCCTGGGTTTGGGATGTGGGATCTGTAACGCTAATCTCCCCCCACGTGTCTCTTTTGAGTTTGCCTGTTTACCTCTATCCCCCTGCGACATCCTTCCCCCAGTCCCTCTTTTGGCAGCTTTGTGTTTTTGGGTTTGCCCGTTTGTCCCGCCATTGCTGCGTCATAATCGGTTTCACATGTCTGTCTGGGGGTGAGATATCTTTGGTTTGCCCAGGCCTCAACCTCTTTCGCTTAGGACGTACCAGAGTCCATTCCTCTCCTCCCTCCCCTTCCCCTCTGCCCTGGTCCATGGCCCCTTCCTTACTTTCCTGACATCCCGTTGTCTTCGACTCTTTCAGTTTTGTCTCTAGAGTTAGGAAGGGCCCAGGAGTCGGGGGGACGTGTGTCCCACTTGGGTTCCCCTTGCTTTTCCCATACCCATCCTCTCGTTCTGCCTTCGCTGTCAGCTTCTGCAACCTCTGGTCCAGATACTGCGATCATGACAGGGCGTTGTATTACGGTGACGACAGTAGCAGGTAGTTTAACCCTAAATCAGCTTTCCTTTGTGCAGGAAGGTTGTTTAAGCCTAAATCAGCTTTCCTTTGTGCAGGAAGTCTCCGAACCCAAAGTCCGCTGAAACTGAAAGGTCCATCGGATTTTCATGTGAAGGTGGGGTGACAGATCATGAAAGGACATCGGGAGGCTGAGATAACCCAAAACCCAATGACCAGAATCATTCGGAAAATACCAATTTACAAGTATGCTTTCTTATGGAGGGAGGGGGGGGAGGG